ATAGAAAGGCCACAAGTCACATCTATTGTTTGTATAATGTCCTGTCCAATATAATACCTTCATCTGGCGGGCTGGTGATAATTTGTCCACAAATATCAATTTTTAAAATGTTAATTAATTTATTTAAGCCCTCAGGCCATCCAAAATGTACATGAGTTTGTTTGGAAAAATGTAGCACTACAACATTTGTTCACCAGTGGATCCTCTGCAGTGAATGGGTGCCGTCAGAATGAGAGTCTTGTGAAGTGAAAAGATGTGTGTTTGTAAGAAACAAATCCATCATTAAGGCATTTTTAACTTCAAACTGTTGCTTCCAAGTAAAATATGAGTCCATAATCCATAATCTCCAGTGAAAATGTCATTTCGCCTGAATCAGGCGAGAAATATGCACAGATCAGGCACGGACTACAAATACAAAACAGCCCAAAACAGCTCTAAACAAATATGTCAGTGGATTTTGATGTGGAAGGATGACAGGTGATGGACTTTCTCACTGGAGGAAGCGTTATTATGGATTATGGACTCATATTTTAGCTGGAAGCAATGGTTTAAAAGTTAAAAAACATCTTTCTTAAAAAAACATTTGTTTCTTATAAACACACAGCTTTTAACTTCACAAGACATGAACTGAAGGAGTGGAGTGGTGTAGATTATTGTGATGTTTTTATCAGCTGTTTGGACTCTCATTCTGACGGCACCCATTCACTGCAGAAGATCCATTGCTAAGCAAGTGAAGTAATGCTAGATTTCTACAAATCTGTTCTAAAAAATAAACAGACTTATCAACATCTTGGATGGCCTGATGATAAGTAAATATTTAGCAATTTTTAGTTTCTGGGTGAACTAATCCTTTAAGGTGTAGTCGGTTCCAGTGTTCAGTTTAACACGTGCTATAATCTTCCTGAAACACTTTCCTCTAGTCTGATTTTAATGAACAGAGGAACGCAATAAAAGAAGCGAATCTCTTTTGAAAGCTTTATGTGCAAATCCAAAACCCTCCCTACAGGATATCTTCTCAGTGGCATTTTAAAATTTTCCAGTCGTTCACAGAGAGATTTACAAACGAGTGTCATTATATTTCAAAGCCGGAGCGCCGAGAGGAGCCTGATAAAGACGAGGCTTTTAAATCCTGCTGGGCGACTTCTTTCCTCTGGAGACGTGAGGCGCGGAGCTCCGTCTGCCTCGCTTTCCTCCAGTCAGTCGCGTTCTGCCGCTCCGACCCTTCGGCTGTTCGCTGCGCTGTCGAGTGTGTTCAGCGTGATCAGGCTTTGTTCTGCTTTTATCAACAACTGAAGGCCTCAGCGTCTTGTTCTTTCTTGTTTTAAGGTTTGCTTTGGTGCGCTTACATCTGTACATGCATGAGCTCACAGTAACTGCAGTGAGTCTTCAACAAATCTAGAGTCTGAAACCATGGTATTACCATAGTATCATTTCCAAAACACTATGGTATTACCCTGGTACAAAGTCTAGAAAACCTATTGTACTTTTTGTTGGTTCTAATATCAAGATTTATTATAGTAATGGTAACTAGCAGAAACCATGATACATTTTTGGATCTCTTGGTTTCCCTTCGTTCTGGTTGGGCATATACATATTATGTTAAACATTACTGTAAGACATGAATAAATGTATATAATAAATAACATACATTAGGCGTCGATATAATTATATATTTTAATATCTTTTATTCTGTTTATAACAAAAAATGAATAAAAGGAAGTATTAAATATGAAATATATCACTTTATCACTGTCTAATGTATGCTGATTGTATGCTGAATATATGCAGAATAATTAATAATAATGGTTAAATAGAAAAATAATTAAAATATTTCACTGTTTTATTGCCTAATTTATGCAAATTTAATAAAAAATAACAATAAAAATTAGATTTTTTTTCTAAAATAGAAAACACACATTAAAGTATATCACTGCCTAATATATGCTAATATTAGTAACTTATAATGTAAAATTATAATTTCTTCTTATTTAGTATAATTAGGCACTACTATTATTATTCAGTGTCATACTGACCATTTTGGGGGAATTTGTGCAAATTAAAAAAAAAAAATTTTTTTTTTATATATATATTATAA